TTCATTAGTCCTCACATCCACATAGCTGGATGGAGAAGCAGAAATCACGAAGCAAAAAATGAAGAAAAACTTGCAAAACTGAATTAGTTATGTGCAAAGCAATCTCTGGACAGTCTCCAGAGATATTCTGCTTTCAAAGATACCATAGAATTATACTTGCACCTCAAGTGAAAACATCTTCCAACAGGAAGATGTACATAACACTTCAATGTTGGATAGAAAACACAATCAGTAASGATTGTCCAACATCTCAGGCACTGAAGAAATAGTATGATTAGCTTTGAATTATTCTTCAGAAACACTCAGTTTGGCAAAAACAATGGTCTGTTCTGAATTCTGAATAACAGGAATATATGCATGTTCAGTAATAGACAAGTTTTAGTATTGGGCTTTAAAAATACACTCAGACTTTGAGTTATAAGCCATCACCATACCCCTAAGTAATTCTCATGGCTAGTTACTTCTGCTGCCAAAAAAGTGACTGTGTTTAATTCTAGCACTGCAGTCTCTTTCCTTTTGGCTTTTTCCTTAAAGAAAATCCCATGTTATCCTTGTAGGCAAATGAAATCATCTGCTTCGAACAGATGAAACTTTTGACGTGTTTGCCAAAGATCAGTTTAGAATTTTAGAAGTGCTTTCTGTTGACAGAGAACAAAAACCAATCAAACAAAAGGCCCTAGTTCCCTTTTCCTGATAGTTATTTATCTGCATTCAACTTCCTTGTCCTCAGCACTCCACCACTGATAATTCCTTCAGATGAGAATTACCTTTCACATTTTTATTTTGGCTATCTGTCTGCTTAGACTGCTTGATAAATATGCAGATTTTCCTTAACAAAAATATTAGTACCAGTACAGCAATAATACAAATAATGCAATAATACAGAAAAAAAAACAAACAAAACAAAAAAAAACAAATATCTTAGAGAAGGCAACTGATAGCTACAAGTCATATMTATGACTTGATTACAAAGATATCAAGTGCAAGTCTATGTCAACCTAAAAAGCATTTCTCATGCAGAAAGACCATACTCTTTTCTATATGCTTCACTGCACATAAATRTATGTATTTATATCAAGTTTATCTGTACATTAAAATGAAGTATCATTGACTAAAATTTATCAATCATATCTTCAGAACTTGAAAAGGTTAAAGAGTTAGATTTTAATTTAGTTAGTTATCCTTCCCTACAATGGTATAGTAAAAATAATCATCAGCAAGTCATTTTTTCATACATGCATTCAGAACTTGTTATCTTGCACCTAGTTTGAAAATGATTCCTCCAGTTGAAAAACTCAATATATAATCACATGAAGAATAAAGCTCCCTTAACACATATTTAAATATATTATCTGTGAAAATTTCTTAGATACAATGATTCTTTTGAAGATGATCTTATTACACAAATACTTTAATAAAGGCACAGAAAACACATGTTAGTTTTCCCTCTGTTCTTCTGTGTTGAATATTTTATAGAGGTTCCTAGGGAAATTCAAAGCGGGAACTAAAATGAAAATGTTTCATTTATATATCCTCAATATCCAAACTCAAGGGTTTTATATCCTTTGGAAGAAAGAATTAGTAAGAGACTGAATGTGAATGCTTTCTCCTTTCTCCAGATGTCTTGTTCCAAAGCTACATCAAAAAATGAAAACAGCCACGTCCAATTTTACGCCTCCTCTGCCAATACCAGAGGAACATTTGAAGTATATTGTATGTGAATGCAGACTAAATTGAAAGTCTGTTTCAAATATCATCTTAAGATGTCAATTCTTTCTTCTCATGATGAAATAATTTAATATTGAATTCTGCTTTTCTTATCTTCTAATCGGACACTTACCCTGGCAACACAAAAACAGTCCTTTGCAGAAGTTCTTCAGAATTTTGTGTAAATATATTTTCTGGAAAGACCAAGAGAAAATACTCCCTGGGGGGTACAGAGTTTTAGCAGCTCCATTAACTCCTCTAAAAACAAAAGTCTTGCTCACATGAAAGCTACAATACATTCGCTCCTGGGCTGAAATCTAAAAACCTGATTCATCAGAGCTGTGCTGGTTTAGTCTCACTAGAGGGAAAACTCTCAAAAAAGGTAACTAAAAAGGTTTTCTTTCACCCTGATACATCTCTTGACAGTTTCAATACTTTATTACACTTGAAAGATAATTAACTGAAGAGACTTTAATACACTCTAGAAAGGAACATTACTAAAGTTAATTCAAAAATGACCCTTATACCAAGGTACTTTTTGAATTGAAATTTAATCAAAATAACTAGGAAGAGGAATAAGGCCAAATAAAAAGAGTAAGGATTACTGAATTCTAATCTGAGAAAACTGCCATCTACACTGAATGTGTATTGCTCAAAAACATAAGTGACTAAAAATCTACACCGAGTCCAACTGAAAAACACTGAGAGTGACTTATGAGGAACGTTCAATGAACTAAACTAGATGTATGTTTTCTCTTAGGGACTGCATTCGCAAAAGTGCGCTTTACAATGACTCCATAAATTATATGCATTTATTGTATGCATGAAAGTTCAAAAAAATCTGCTATTTTCTAGGCTGTTGGAAATTTAAGGCTTATAAGGAACTCGGGAGAAAACGTAGTTAAAAAATAAAGGGGTGTTTTGGATTCACAGACTCGCTAACATTTTAAACAGGCATTCTCTTTTCATATATATAATGAGAAAATTTGTTTACCGTTTGGAAACATATAAAACACATCTCAATCTATACTATTAAATCCAGTCTGCGCCTCTGTATACACGGTCTTTTCACTATCAGCATATTCTAAAATGATGGACCTTTACCCTTTGGAGCTCACTTTTATGGTTATTATTATTTTTAGATATTTTCGATGGCATATGACAGTAATCCCAAAATGAACCGCTCCGTTTGGTGTCCGAATAACACCTATCTGATATTTAGCTTGCTGGCCTCCCTGCCGAGGCTCGGCACGTGACTGTGGGGCAGGGAGGAGGGTGGAACGCAACCGGCCAGAGCGGAGCAGCCTCCCAGCGCCGGGGCTGGCTAGGGCCAGCCAAGCTGAGCACGGGAATGCTGCACGGGACACAGGGTGGGAAAGGGAAAGGAATGGCAGGCATCTGCCTGACGTTGAGACTAGACAACCAGCTCGACAGGCAAACACAGAAGTGGTCAGCCCAGTACCTTTCATGAGAGAGATTTCAGAGGCCTAAAATGCCGACTTTTGCAAAGAGCAACCTTTTTTTTTTTTTTTCATTTACCAAACCAATTTCATTCTTTCTTTCCTTCAAAACACATTCATGATTTTCCTCCCTGCCGTAAGTCTGACAACAAAGTGGTCTCCACTACTACATTTATTTACAAGAAGCTTTGATAATGAAGCTAATTAAAGAGTTTTTCAGGCAGATACACTGCTGTGGTTGGCAGAGTAGTTGATAGTGCAAATTTTATTAAGCATAGAATAAAATGCATATTGCCAAGCACCTGGTATGTAATTCCATAGCATGAAAACCTAAACCGCTTCTCTCGTACAAATCTGGAATATGGTATCTTTTCAGARCAGAAATCAACAGCAGTAAAAGATACTGCTTTTGATCCTTTGGACAAAATATATACCTTGGCACAGGTAACAAGGTTTGTGCTGCCTTTCATAACACTGTCATCAGCACGGACATATTGCTTCAGCACTGCCACTCAGTTCTTCTTCATTATTGTTCTTTGCTTCACCTTCTTGGGTCTGAATAAACTCATGAATATCTCTAATAATAATCACATAAGCCTTAGGTAAACTGTGTGGAGCAATACAAGCGCTGTATTTGCAAACAAAGTTTTCAAAAACTTTACACCTCCTCCTCAAAATAAATTGCACATTACTTGGTTGTCCATCACGTCCACCAATTTACACTGCCCAAATTTGACTGGGATAAATTATAAAATGGAAAGATCTAAATAATACAGATAACACTACACATCCTCATTTCCAATTTGCACATTAAACCTCTAAGCCTTCCAGAATGTGTAATTCCATAGCTTTTTCAGGGATTCCAAATTCCTTTCAAACGGCAGATATTTTTGGCTTGTTTGTTTTCAAATTACAGTTACTATTAAAAGGAAAACCAGTTTCTTTGATAAGCACAAAACAATCACGTTAGTCTAAAAATGTCATGAAGACCATCCTCTGTTCGTTGAATATAAAAAGAAGAAAGACTAACAAGGAAGAAGTGTAAGTAAACTGTCAAGTTCTTTCAGAGCACCATATACACATGATAATTTAAAACTACTACTTCTCCTGACAACAGCTTTCAAGGATCTGCATTGGGATAGAGAGACAAGACTGGCCAGAAAATCCCACCCCTCTATTGCAGCTGTCTCCTGTATAACATCTGTTCTTTAATAAAGAGGCCTCATCAGACAAGTTAGTGTCTAAAAAATCCCAGATCTACCTCCTTCAAGATCAAGGTACATACCTGCTCCTATCCTTTCATAGCATAAGGCAACTTATCTTCCCCTCCTACCTACCCACCCCCTAAAAATATTTTTTAATACTTTCCATGAATGCTAGAGTAGCAAGTCTGGAAGTTCTGRAAGTAAAGGGAGAGGAGCTTTCTTTTTTTTATTTCTTATATACCTTTTCCACAGATGAACAGAATCTCAAACACAAAACATGGTAAAATAAGCATCTAAGTAAAAACAGCACTATTTCTTCAGTGGCCTGTCTCATTTTGCAACATATGCTATTAGCATTACTGGAAATAACTCCACCTACACACTTCTCAAAAAAATCCAAACATCTGGCACAGATGTTGATGGCAGAGCAATAACTCGGAAGAGATGAGGCCACTACACTTGGCTTTCTGTGACCTGTTTTCATCGACAAATTGGAAAGTAGCATCACATTTGAAAGAAATACTCTTGCCATTTTACTTCAAGCTTGCTACTTCTGCATGCCATTTGGTATTTTTCCATCAACTGTCTAAACAGATATTTAGTGTAGAAAGCAATTAAATGTTCCTACCAATATTGGGATGCTTCAAGAGGCGACAGATTCTAGCTTCCCTTTCCAGTTTCTGGTGATCTGCAAAGAAGAAAGAAAAAAAAACACATTTACCATTACTCAGGGAAAGAAAACAGTCTTTAAAAACATAACTGCTTCATTTAGCTTCATTAAGACTTTACATTCAAACTATTTGRAATGTTGAATTAGATTGCTGCATCCAATTGTTTCTTTGATGAGCTTGTGCAGGTACTGTCATGTTAGAAAAATCTAACTGCTTATTTAATGGGGAGAGCAAGAAATAATTTATGCTGTAGCCTATAATTATCAGGTGATAAATCATGTTATAACATTAATCAAAATAAAGACAAAACACAATCTCTAGCATGACCATGAATCTTAACCTGTTAATGTTTTAACAATATCGTACAGTGTGTGTCATTTGACACATGGCAACAATGCCAAGAGAATGCCAGCATTCCTGCCACATGATGCTGCAGAAATCCCAATTACCAAAGACCAGSAGATGTTCTCCGATTAGGTCTTATCTCTTTCATGGGTTGATTATTCATTAACCTGAAGATACCTTGAATACTTAAGTCCAGATGCCTCATCTGTTGGCTTCCCCTCTCCCTGCTGTTTGAATCGCTTTAACCTTTGAGCAGAAACAGGAGGCTCTTGCTTTTAGCTTTTCTTGTACACCCCTATAGTAAAATGGCACTGCTGGAGAAAAAATGTGATTGTGACTTACACAGACCTCCCTTTAAGTGGNATGTACCACCCTTTTATAATATTTGCTTGAAATACCATTGCTTATAATACTACTTCTGTTATATTTGATCAGTGCTAAGTAATAGAGATAATACAGTGCTTGTCTATATGATAATAAATTGGGAGTGTACGTGTATAATTGCTCTTACTTGGAAGTACCTGGAGGTCTCATATAAAGAATCTACAGTTTGCAACAAAAACTAATAAACAAAAACTTTCTTTGCACRGTATGGATAGGGCATGATCATAGACTGCCGGACTATCATGAGGACTAATTAACAGAACACAATTCTMTGAGTATGAGCAGCTAAACTGAAACCTTTTAAATATGGTGAGCAGAAATATTTGATTTTATATTTACACCCGTACAAGAAAAAATATTTTTATATTCATATCTATATTGCATACAAGGCTCTGTGCTAAGCAGAATAAAACTCCTAATTTCTCCTAACTGATATTAATGTAACAGTCCAAAGTTAACATACTGAGTAAACTCATATAGTAGTGAAGCAGAATTTTTATATTTTAAGTTTTAGAAATTAATAGGAGCAAGTAAGGCAGGCCTAACTTTAGACACTGATTCCTGGCTTTAGAATTCTCAACACAACACTCATTCTTCCCCTAGAGCTRGCACAGGTAACCTGAGCAACAAATTATGCAATTTAGAGAGATTTAAAAATAGCCAGGAACTGCCTGCTGCAGCCTTATGTCAATAAACTCCTGGTGTATCCTCGCTGTCTGCAGCATCATTCCTATGGAAGCTTTGAATACTAAAGCTCATCAAGAGGCAGAAAAGCTCCACAGATTTCAGTTTTAGCTGAAGTATTARCTAAAAATATTTTTTCAAAATTAAAAGAGAAATAAACTGTGATATGTGCCTGGAGATGAAGCCGTGCTGTTATTTTAGCTGACTCCAAAGTGATATCCAAGTTTATTATAATAATCAATCCTTCACAGAAGTCTAACTCCAGATGTCATGCAAGTAATTCAGGTTATGCTCTCTCTGCAATCCTATTTTTCCACATTATATTTGAGAGCACTCCTAACAACTAAAAGGAGAGTTCTTCACTTTTATTTCAGCTCATAAAACCTGTAATCTGCTTTAAAAGTTTTGTGTTGAATAACTTGCAATCARAAAATACAAAACTAATCTACAAAAGAACATAACACTTCAAAAATGCTAGAGTAAGAATGAGCAATCTGAATCTGTAATGCAATTWACAGATGTATAGTGCCTGCACAGTACAGTATTGAGTTCTGCAGGAAATCAGCTCCCGCTCAAACCCAGCATTGGGTGTTASCTCTCTTATGCTTTTAATCTAAATACAGAGCAGCAGAGTTGTCCCAAAAGCAGGAAAGCAGTGTTCACAGCACAGCTCCACAGATGCAATGGTATAGTGCAATATAGTGCAAGTGTAGATGTTTGGTAGCACGGCTACAAAAACTCTACCTCATGAACCCAAAACTTTGCTTTCCTGAGAATCACTTTGGCTTCAGACTACCCAACATGGTGCTGCTCTACACACTGCTTGTTTAATCAGGCTGGAAAGTCTCCAGGAAAGGGGGAGACAACAGCAGTAGGTGCAGACAACAGCAGTGAGTGTCTAAGTGTCCATGCTGGGCATTCGGAGTACCCATTTCGGAGCAGGAAGACGCAGGTTCCCTGTTGCGACGACTGTTTCACAAAAAAATAAAATAAAATAAAATAAAATAAAAAAATCCATCGGCACCGTCTGCACAAAACATCCACATTGTGACAACAGCAGGGGCCACAACCCAAGTTCTTCCAGTTTAGTGTTTCAGTCACTAGATTACTGAAGTTACTCGCATCTATACTGGTGGTTGCAATAAGAAGGTGTAGTAAGGATTAGATTAGCATCTTGAGTGCTGTTTCCCAGCCTGCAGACTGTCAGCCACATAGCTAGCCAGCTTAGCAAGCGTGTCTGCACAATGCACAGACCAATTCAGTCCTGATCTCAGACAAGTCCTCTTACGTGTGATTACAATATAAATAAAACAATCCTTTGGCGAACTTGGGTTTTTTTTTTTTTTTTTTTTTTTTTTTTTAAGTGGTGGCCAGAGAAGAACATCAAAGAATAACTTGCTGATGAACTCTGGAAGTTTTGTAGTATTTTGCAGAGAAAAACTCCATAGAAAAAGCAAATGGAAAGGAACTTGTACCTTTCAATTTCTACCCTGAGACAGGGGTGAACTAGTTTCTTGTTAGAACTGATCCCCTCGAAGCACCTCTCTAATTTAATCCTGTAGCAAAGCACTTTCTCAAGTGATGAGATTACGTGAGACCAGTCTTAAACGACTAACTGTATCCTATAAATAGCAAGGGCAAAACRTGGCCAGAACAGTCTATTGACAGATACCAGACATCCTCCAACAGCRGCCCCTAAGCATTCTGAGAAAGAAGAAGTGTTCCTCAATAAAATATGATCCACAAAATGAATACACATCCCTCAGACCCTCATACATCATCTACAAGATCACAATCTTTTCCTTTCCCCGCCCACATCGGTTTAGTAATGGCCCAACATGATTTGGCTTTARAGGTTCATTCACATCAGTTACTGCATAGAAGAATATACACCGTAAATACAATCATTTTCATAAAATATTTTTAATTTTTTATATTTTGCATAAAGTATGCAAATTTAAGGAGTATCTGCAAATGATCTAAGCAATACTTCCTAGAACAAGGAGGGAAGAGAGAGATATAATGAAGAATAGTTACATTCTTCCCACTTGTTTCTATCAATGATTATGGTGGTGATCATACAAGCAATAAAAACTGAAGATGACTCGAGTATGGCATATATAACCTCATAAAGATCTACGTGAGGTGACAAAGACCTGTGCTGCACACCTTTGGAAGGCAAGCTATTAACAGCTRTCAAGTAATACTATAATAGATTAAGGAAGCATCTTCTCCCAAAAGTTCTTGGTAGTTTAATATCAGGTACTCATCCTTGGGCACTGCACACTTTGCCAATCGCTTAAGAAAGGCTCTCCAAAGACTTCGCCAAGGCAAAGCCGATTATGTCAACAGAAGGCACACCGCAAAGAGTTTCAGCACAACAAATCTTGTAGAAATATACCCTATTGAACTACTGCAATAAWTTTGAATCAAGACCAACATGCAGTTTAAGTATGACTAAGTATATAGTTTAAAAGGAAAAAAAAAAGGATGAGAAGTACTAAAGAGCTGGCACTTTTCATTCAAGTCATGCCAATAACAGCATAAATTGTCTTCGTAAAACAGTCTGTCCTCAAAAACAAAACAAAAACAACAACAACAACAACAACAACTGAAAACCTACTAAGAGGTTTTGGAACCCATCAGAAAAGCGTAACATAACTCCATCTGCTTTCTCTACAATAACTGTATTTTTTCAAATAAAGTTGATGAACACTAAATTATAAGATTTAGTGTGATGCAACTGCACTAAACATCCACAAATTATCCACTACTGGAAATSTATTTTGGGAAAAAAACTGCACTGGAGTTTTAAAAACACACTAGAATTGGAAACATGAACTTTCAACCCTATCATGTGTCACAATATTTGCACAGTAAGGTCAGTCCCGAAAAAAATAAGAAAAGGATAGGTTTAAAAAATAGTGGCTATGAATGACAACTCCTAGGGTCAATAATTTAGCATCAGGTACTAAAAGAAAAAAGAAACAAAAGAAAAAAAAAAAAAAAGAACAAACCTTAATTCAACATGTTCAGACAACATGTCCAGATATACTTGTGTAAAAGAAACTATAGCTGAAATGAAATATAAAAGGCAAATTCCCTCTTTAATATAGTTAACACCTGAAGTTCGTAAAGCAATTCTTAAAGATGGAGTAAAAACAGGAAAGGAAATTTCATTATTCGTCTATACTCTGTATTTCTCTGTATTTTGGTCAATTTTCTCAGTAAGAATGATCAAATCAATTCTACTTATCTCAATAATTAACTTTTATAGTCTTGTACCAGCAAGTTGTTTTATAAACACAAAATCTTCCACTGAGGATTAATGTTAAGWTTTTTAAGTTCTGTTGTACTGGAATTTATTTTAAATGCAGGCACACATACATAACGGGTACACAGCACACAGGACAATGATTTGACATGCAAATCAAACCAAGCTTGCTTTAGAGGAAAGTTGGACATTCTTTTACTGTCTTAAGGAAAAAAAAAAAAAAAAAAAAAAAAAAAAAAAAAAGACCATCAAGACATTGCTGGTCTATACCATCTCTATCAGCTCAACCTACATTTAGAGGATTGTACTGGGTAGCTATAAACCTGGAAG